AAGAAATAGGCTTATTTCAAAGTGGAAAATAATGGGAAGGAGGGAGCTCTGTACGTGTCGTCTAGTTCACAAGGAAATGTTGAACAGTATTGTTGTATTGACATAAGTGGTGATGAGGTGATTTGTACCATCTGTGCATCTGGCTGTGGGGATATATATAAATTTGACCAGAACTGATGATATCAGCAGACTTACACTGAACAAATGAAATTCCAGTTATAAAACATAGATCAAGGATGTGCAGATGTATAAGAAATGTGAGCAAAGGAGCTACTAGGACGAGTATCTGATGTGAATGGGCCATTAGTAGAAATAAATACATCAGCAAATCTGATAAAGTCAAACCCTCTGCAGAACAAAACGTAACACAGAAACATGAAAGTGACTCAACTAGCGTTAAGGCTGGCAATTGTCAGTTGGTCCAGTGAGGCAAATCCCAGCCTTGATTTACAGAACCTTACATATATTTACATATGCTTAAATTAAAATAAATTCTTACACGTGCAAATTTAAGCACGAACTGAAATTTCGTTTACTTCATCGGAATTTATATAAGATAGAAGATTACGTGATAGACTGCCTTTCCTAACTAAGGATTTTTTTTTTTTCTAAATTGGGCCTCTCTCTTCTGAGTTGGGGTCCTTCTGTTAGTAAAAACGAACTATTTAAAATGTCTATAAATACTGTGATCTCAGGAAGATTGTTGGATTTGGAAAGACTGGAACGACAGTTGACAAGAACTTGACTTGATAATACTTATTTGGGGTAGTTTGGGAGGTGTAAGTTGAAACAGCAAGGAAATGTGGCAGTCATCAACCAGTACTTCCACATCACGAACTAATGCGGCAAACCAGTCATTTTTAGGAAGTGATACAAATCTCAATGCTTCAGATTGTAGGAGCAGAAAACCTAGAAAGCGTGCTGTTACAGATTATCTCACAGTTTATCTTGCATCTACAAGCTATTCTGACCAAAAAGTCATAAAGACATCTTTCACCTCTACCATTTTATGATTCTAAATTATAAGATACAAAGCTTACTGATTATGCCCACCTGTATCACTAAGTTGGGGACAAGGGCAGAATAGACAAGATCATTTTAAAGTACAAGGCACAATTTACTGGTTTGCAGGTCACGGTCTTTGTGTATTTATTTTAGCTCTTCGAACAAAGGGACCAGAAGTTTCTGACCGGTGAACAGAGCTTTGCGTGCTTGGTGACAGCCGATCGCCGGCTTTCTACCGCTTTCCAATCCAGAAGCGCCTCAGATGCTTTGTGGTAGCTGTTGAACAAGCCTAAGTTACAAGACTACCATCTTAAAAGCAGGAGGTTCACATATACTTTAAAAATATCTTAGCCTGGAAATTGTGCTGGTTCAGCTGCTGCCTCACAAGCAGCTGAGCTGTCCATGTTGTAGCAGCAGATGTTTCAAAGCAGGTGTCAAGACAATCATGGGTGGCAAAAACTGAAGCTCTCCCAAAGTAGCATTTCTACTTGAGAATTAAAGCCTCAAAGGAGCTATAAAATAACCTTGTTAATTTGACACTTGATCATGCAAACATCTCAAAAATCCCACTCCAAATTATATGACTCTGCCTGGCTCACAGCCAGGATCTCTCATCCAATTTCAGTATATTCAGATTTTATTGTTTTTAGGGAAGCTTCTGCTGAACATTTGGTGGTATAGTTCAGCACTTAATCACGCTTTCTTACAAGAAAATCGCAATGATGAAACACACGAATAAAGTAAACCTGATAAAGCCTTTTTATTGCTTCCTTAGAGTATCTGTCCTGCGGGGAGCACCCCGCAACACGCCCGGCAGGACCAGGGCCTCAGCGAGAAAAACAGGAGTAGGTATCAGAAAGGCGTTCTGCTAAAGGTGCCCGAATGCTGCAGCACCGAGCCCACCCCGGAGGGCGGCCCGCGGCACCCACGGCTCCCGCCCAAGGCGGCCCCCCGCCACCCCGCTACCGGCTTTCCAACATCTTTCC